TCTCACCAAATGCACCGACCCAACACCTCCCCACCTCTCACCAAATGCACCGACCCAACACCTCCCCACCTCTCACCAAATGCACCGCCCCAACACCTCCCCACCTCTCACCAAATGCACCGACCCAACACCTCCCCACCTCTCACCAAATGCACCGACCCAACACCTCCCCACCTCTCACCAAATGCACCGCCCCAACACCTCCCCACCTCTCACCAAATGCACCGACCCAACACCTCCCCACCTCTCACCAAATGCACCGCCCCAACACCTCCCCACCTCTCACCAAATGCACCGACCCAACACCTCCCCACCTCTCACCAAATGCACCGCCCCAACACCTCCCCACCTCTCACCAAATGCACCGCCCCAACACCTCCCCACCTCTCACCAAATGCACCGCCCCAACACCTCCCCACCTCTCACCAAATGCACCGCCCCAACACCTCCCCACCTCTCACCAAATGCACCGCCCCAACACCTCCCCACCTCTCACCAAATGCACCGCCCCAACACCTCCCCACCTCTCACCAAATGCACCGCCCCAACACCTCCCCACCTCTCACCAAATGCACCGCCCCAACACCTCCCCACCTCTCACCAAATGCACCGACCCAACACCTCCCCACCTCTCACCAAATGCACCGACCCAACACCTCCCCACCTCTCACCAAATGCACCGCCCCAACACCTCCCCACCTCTCACCAAATGCACCGCCCCAACACCTCCCCACCTCTCACCAAATGCACCGCCCCAACACCTCCCCACCTCTCACCAAATGCACCGCCCCAACACCTCCCCACCTCTCACCAAATGCACCGCCCCAACACCTCCCCACCTCTCACCAAATGCATCGCCCCAACACCTCCCCACTTCTCACCAAATGCACCGACCCAACACCTCCCCACCTCTCACCAAATGCACCGCCCCAACACCTCCCCACCTCTCACCAAATGCACCGCCCCAACACCTCCCCACCTCTCACCAAATGCACCGACCCAACACCTCCCCACCTCTCACCAAATGCACCGCCCCAACACCTCCCCACCTCTCACCAAATGCACCGCCCCAACACCTCCCCACCTCTCACCAAATGCACCGACCCAACACCTCCCCACCTCTCACCAAATGCACCGCCCCAACACCTCCCCACCTCTCACCAAATGCACCGACCCAACACCTCCCCACCTCTCACCAAATGCACCGACCCAACACCTCCCCACCTCTCACCAAATGCACCGACCCAACACCTCCCCACCTCTCACCAAATGCACCGACCCAACACCTCCCCACCTCTCACCAAATGCACCGACCCAACACCTCCCCACCTCTCACCAAATGCACCGACCCAACACCTCCCCACCTCTCACCAAATGCACCGACCCAACACCTCCCCACCTCCCCACCTCCCCACCTCTCACCAAATGCACCGACCCAACACCTCCCCACCTCTCACCAAATGCACCGACCCAACACCTCCCCACCTCTCACCAAATGCACCGACCCAACACCTCCCCACCTCTCACCAAATGCACCGACCCAACACCTCCCCACCTCCCCACCTCCCCACCTCCCCACCTCTCACCAAATGCACCGCCCCAACACCTCCCCACCTCTCACCAAATGCACCGACCCAACACCTCCCCACCTCTCACCAAATGCACCGCCCCAACACCTCCCCACCTCTCACCAAATGCACCGCCCCAACACCTCCCCACCTCTCACCAAATGCACCGCCCCAACACCTCCCCACCTCTCACCAAATGCACCGCCCCAACACCTCCCCACCTCTCACCAAATGCACCGCCCCAACACCTCCCCACCTCTCACCAAATGCACCGCCCCAACACCTCCCCACCTCTCACCAAATGCACCGCCCCAACACCTCCCCACCTCTCACCAAATGCACCGCCCCAACACCTCCCCACCTCTCACCAAATGCACCGCCCCAACACCTCCCCACCTCTCACCAAATGCACCGCCCCAACACCTCCCCACCTCTCACCAAATGCACCGCCCCAACACCTCCCCACCTCTCACCAAATGCACCGACCCAACACCTCCCCACCTCTCACCAAATGCACCGCCCCAACACCTCCCCACCTCTCACCAAATGCACCGACCCAACACCTCCCCACCTCTCACCAAATGCACCGCCCCAACACCTCCCCACCTCTCACCAAATGCACCGACCCAACACCTCCCCACCTCTCACCAAATGCACCGACCCAACACCTCCCCACCTCTCACCAAATGCACCGCCCCAACACCTCCCCACCTCTCACCAAATGCACCGCCCCAACACCTCCCCACCTCTCACCAAATGCACCGCCCCAACACCTCCCCACCTCTCACCAAATGCACCGCCCCAACACCTCCCCACCTCTCACCAAATGCACCGACCCAACACCTCCCCACCTCTCACCAAATGCACCGACCCAACACCTCCCCACCTCTCACCAAATGCACCGCCCCAACACCTCCCCACCTCTCACCAAATGCACCGACCCAACACCTCCCCACCTCTCACCAAATGCACCGCCCCAACACCTCCCCACCTCTCACCAAATGCACCGCCCCAACACCTCCCCACCTCTCACCAAATGCACCGACCCAACACCTCCCCACCTCTCACCAAATGCACCGCCCCAACACCTCCCCACCTCTCACCAAATGCACCGACCCAACACCTCCCCACCTCTCACCAAATGCACCGCCCCAACACCTCCCCACCTCTCACCAAATGCACCGCCCCAACACCTCCCCACCTCTCACCAAATGCACCGACCCAACACCTCCCCACCTCTCACCAAATGCACCGCCCCAACACCTCCCCACCTCTCACCAAATGCACCGCCCCAACACCTCCCCACCTCTCACCAAATGCACCGCCCCAACACCTCCCCACCTCTCACCAAATGCACCGCCCCAACACCTCCCCACCTCTCACCAAATGCACCGCCCCAACACCTCCCCACCTCTCACCAAATGCACCGACCCAACACCTCCCCACCTCTCACCAAATGCACCGCCCCAACACCTCCCCACCTCTCACCAAATGCACCGCCTTAACACCTCCCCACCTCTCACCAAATGCACCGACCCAACACCTCCCCACCTCTCACCAAATGCACCGACCCAACACCTCCCCACCTCTCACCAAATGCACCGACCCAACACCTCCCCACCTCCCCACCTCCCCACCTCTCACCCCGCGCCTGTTCTAGCACGGGTGACAGGTTTATCTGGCAGCTAGGTCAAGGTCGCCTGTAAAACAGAGCTCTAACCCTAGCGACGCCCCTGCGCCGCTTCCACTTACGTGTGTGTGGGCTGTCAAGTGATATGTGAGGACAGTTAGCGACACGCCCCTGTGGTGTGAGTGTGTGTGGGTTAAGGGGGGGGGGGGTATTCTCGAACCGTTTCTAATTTATAGAAATTATTGCCCTCTTTCTCCCTCTTTCTCACTCTCTCCTGTTTAACCTCTCTCAAATTTCCTGTTTACCCATCTCTCTGGCTCACACTATCCCCTCTCCTTGTTTTACTCCCGCACTCTCCCCTTCTCCCACAGTCCCGCCTCCTTACCTCTTCTATTCCTCCTTCACTAATTCCTCTTTCTCCGTCACTCCATCTCTCAAACCCTCCTCTCTCCTTTACCTGTAGGCCTACCGTTTGATAATAAAATACAGTACCGTTCACACTGAACTCTCTAATAGCTAGATGAGGCCAACTGTGAGAGAGATTGTTATGTAGATCCTATGTTGAACGTGATGAGGCCAACGATTAGATAGACTGTTGTGGTAGACCTTACATCAGTTCATCAGATATTGCCATTTCTGCACAAGTAACTTTCGTCATGGTCAGATATGTCATGGCCAATTCTATTATGGCCATTCTTTGTTATGACCAACTCCACTAATGGTTTCCCTTCCACCACCCCACCCCCCGTGTCAGCTTTGATCTCTTATCTATATCTACCACAATGTTAACAGCGCGTAACTAAAATAAAAATAAAAATTCCCACATATTCTAAGAAACATCTCTAATTTTTTCTTCATCAAATTTAAAACACCAACAGTTTGACTTCAGAATCATAACGTAAAAAAAAATTCGAGGTCAAATTACAATTTAATTTATTAAAATCCTGAATTCTATCTCTGTTATATCTAAAACCAACCTAGTTATTGTGCTAGGTATGTCGAGGTTGGGGGTCTAAAACTAGAGGATTAACCAGAGGTATCGGTAGATTCCTTTCCACCGCCACAGCCCCGCATTGTTGCCGTTAAGTACTGTGAAACTTGGGACAACCGCTGGGGAGCTTTGAGGTTGGTGCGGTATCCCCCAGTCGCAGCAACTCGGGGGGTAGGGGGCGCCACGTAAGACAGAATCTATTGTTTGCGGTCTGCCCTCGGTACAATTGTACAGTGTATAGTTTGATTAAAATAGAAAGATGGTACTTTTTAGTTGGTGTTTTTTTTTACTTTCATAATTGTCTACTGTTGTGTATGCGATGAGGTTGATTAGCGTGTGTGTGTCTGTGTGTGTGTGTGTGTTCAATTTAAAACATTCACCTGAACAGGGCCCGTGTTGTGTGAGAGTCACTGAACCATGACGGACAGTGCACTTACAACAGAGGACTTAACCTGGGCTAAGACACGTCATAAAACATAACATATGCTGGAATATGACATATGCTGGAATTTGACATATGCTGGAATATGACATATAATGGACCATGACATGCTGGAATATGACATATGCTTGACCATGACATATGCTAGACCATGGCATATGCTAGACCATGACATATGCTGGGCCACGACATATTGTGGAATATGACATGAACTGGACTATGACATATGCTGGACAAAACGGACAAGGATATTTAAAGGACAAGAAAAATGTAAACTTGAGCCAAGTGTGTCAAACAGTACTGCAATAAATTAAACATTTGCCTGTTAATCAAAATATTTTAAGGATTTTTTTTTCTTTTACAGATCGTAAAGAGTAGTGTACTAGAGGTCAAGGTTTCAGTGTAGAGGTCAAGGTTTCAGTGAGCAGTTGCTTAGAGCGGTCAGCGTGCTAGAGTTACCTGTACTGACCTAGGCTGGTCACTGGTCTTCCTGACGCCACAAACATGGTGTGACGCCACTGGCTGACACAACACTCGCAGCCAGACGCATCAGAACTGTGACGCATTTAACGTCTGCAAAACGTTTTTTAAATAATATCAATGCTGTTCTCGTTTGACTTGACAAGTTTAACTCTGAAAATATTAAAATTCGAAATAGTGACTTCAAAAGCGTTACTCCAAATTTGTGATTTCTGAGTTTGACTCCGAATTGGCGAATTCTAAACATTGACTCCAATTTGGTGATTTCTGATCTGTGACTCCAAAAGCCTAACACCAAAACGACAAACACCCTTATTTGTGACTCAAAAAAAAAAAACCTAACTTCTGAACTGTGACTCCAAAAAACGAGATTCTCAAAAGTGTTTACAGGATAATAAATTCTAAAGAGACTTCAAAATCTGGAAAAGTTGTTTCTCCAACGTGTGCTCAAAAGACATTAAAAATCCACTCTTGACTGAGCTTTGATAATCCTACACCGGAGAGACCCACTCCAAAAAACGGGACGCAACGACTAGTTTCTATGTCATACGGGAATCACGTGTACCGACACACAAGGCGGCACCCGGCGGCAGGGACGGGCGATGCGCTAGGGGTGGCAGGTCCCCAGGGTTGAAGATGCTCCATGGTGCACATGTCGAATGCTCCTTGATTCGCTCCGTGCGTGCTTTGTCATGTCACGCGTTGACCAGCTGAGGGCGAGCAAGAGACAGGGCAAGCTGCACACAGCCTATGTTCCTCAGGGCGGCACCGTCACAAAGGTCAGTCAACACGTTGTTTTGTGACTCTTGATGTTAGCGTTCTGTGACTCTTGATGTTATCGTTATGTGACTTTTGATATTATCGTTATGTGACTTGATATTATCGTTATATGACTTTTGATATTATCGTTATGTGACTTTTGATATTATCGATATGTGGATCTCTTTGTTCTCTTTGTTCTGTGACTCTTGATATATCGTTCTGTGACTCTTGATATTGTTATGTAACTTGTGATATTATCGTTCTGTGACTCTTTATATCGTTGTTCTGTGACTCCTGAAATGTGGATATCTTTGTTCTGTGACTCGCAACATTGTTGTTTGTGACTCCTGATATTGTTCAGTAACTCTTGATATCATTGTCCTGTGACTCTTGTTATCATTCTGTTCTCTTCTTCTCTGACTCTTGATGTCATTGTTCTTTATATCATGGTTCTGTGACTGTTGTGGGTAAAAAAAAAAACTTTAAAACACAAATTCTAATATTTAGAGAATTTTTTTTTAATTAAAAAAGGGTGAAAAAAAGAAATTGATCATGAATTCAAACTTGAATTAGAAATGAATGGAAGATAACGAGGTATTCTAAAAAATTAAGTTACAAGATTTTCTATGGCGGTGAGGGGTGGGGGTAGGAATGTAATACGTTCTGATTATACATTTAGACCATTTGAATATCAACGGGGTTGTTGATATTTTTTCGACTGATAAAGCGATTTTGTAATTTCCCTATAGGGAAATAATTTTCCGATGGGGATTTCAAACTTCCAATATGGTATTTTATATTTAAAGATAAAAATCTAATACATAAGTGTAAAAAAAAACTTCCCTAATATTCTGACACTGTATACCTGAAATTAGTTTCTCAAACGTGGAAGTTTTGAAATTGGTGAGGAAATACTGGGAATTTCCGATGTGTTGAAACTCACATCTTTCGATATCAAATATCAGTGTTAAATGCCTTCATTGTCACGAGTCAGATAAATTGCTTTCACATTTATGAATAATTAAAGCCCATGTTTTTAAATAAATAAACCTTTTTCTGTTGTCTCTGTAGTTAAATCGTTTAAAAATAACCTACAATTTGATGAGAAAATGCTTTTTACACTAAAATATTCAATTGAGAAAATGACAAACAAATGAAAAGAAACGTTCACTGTATAGTATTGCAGGACAATATATATATATATATATATATATATATATATATATATATATATATATATATATATATATATATATATATATATATATATATATATATATATATATATATATATATATATATATATATATATATATATATATATATATATATATATATATATATATATATATATATATATATATATATATATATATATATATATATATATAATCTGCTCTTTGCCTTTATGTTCTTTATTTAGCAATGTCGATATACATATAGATACATAATACAATGACATATTAAATGCCACACATAACAAATCGCACCCCAAGACTTTAAGGTCTAACTGCATTTAAAGAAAATTTGTTTAAAAAAGTGTGCCAATTAAGAAATGTCATGGAAGCAGAGAGTGTAGAGGGTGGCGTTTAAGTGTAGGAACGTATGTAGTTTGATTTGGTTTAGCTATGATAAGGATATCATTCGCGTATGTGTGTAGTCGAGCACTGAATCAGCTCCTCCAATTTACCGAAGATCCGACACAAATGTACACTCTTTTGCCAGCAATTTGTATGAATATACTAGCCGATATTAGAGCAGTCGAACAAACAAATTCCTTTACAAATAACTGCTAAAAGATGGAGCTTAGCGGACAGGATATAACAAACCTCTCAAATTTGTATTGAGACAGCGATCTTTCTGCAGAGGTGAATGCGAAATGTAAATGGATTAAACGATGCAAAGAAGTTTATTTGTATTTGAAAAAATGAGTTTTGTCAATACGCCGAAAAGGTTTTTATATGCCGTACCAAAGAGTTAGGATGAAGATTAGCTTGAGTAAATAAGACGTCCCAACTTTGATGGGTACCTGGTTATTGTACAGGGAAGTAAAGGTGGCGGTGCATAGAACTGGCAACACTATATTTTTTGATGTCACTGTAACAGGTGAACTCTACTTCATTTAACTACACGCCAAAAAAAATCGTTAAAGGAAGAATTTAATATTTTACATCTTGAAAATGTTTAGCTAGGAAAGAATATCCGGCCTTGTTCCCGACGGAATAGTTTAATGTAGTATTGTTCCCGACGGAATAGTTAAATTCAGTATTGTTCCCGACGGAATAGTTTAATGTCGTCTTTTTCGGGGTGTAATATTTATTTACGTTCTTGTTACTATTATAAATGTATACACCGTCTTCTTCCTGGTGTTATATATGTATATCCCGTCTTGTTAATGGGGTTATATATTTATATACCGTCTTGTTCCTGGGGTTATATATCTATATACCGTCTCGTTCCCAGTGTTATATATTTATATACCATCTTGTTCCTGGTGTTATATATTTATATACCGTCTTGTTCCTGGGGTTATATATCCATATACAGTCTTGTTCCCAGTGTTATATATTTATATACCATCTTGTTCCTGGTGTTATATATCTATATACCGTCTTGTTCCCAGTGTTATATATTTACATACCGTCTTGTACCTGGTGTTATATATTTATATACCGTCTTGTTCCTGGGGTTATATATCTATATACGTTCTTGTTCCTGGTGTTATATATTTATATACCGTCCTGTTCCCGATGTAATATTTGGCTTGTGTTTGTCCTCAGGTGAAAACGGTTCCTGGCCACTTCCGGTTGGCTCTGATGATCCTGCTTGTGTTTGTCACGGACCAGGTCTGCTGCACGGCGATGGTGGAGGAACACGAGACGTCGGTGACGTTCCGCACGAAGATCTGTCAGAAGCTCTCCCCGACGGAGCTCAAGAAACGCCTCGGCCCGGCGTTTGACGACAAAATGATGGCCGACATGCCCCCGGGCGCCGAGGCGGGACCCGACCCGGGTAACCTTGACCCGGGTCGTATGGGTTTCCTCGGCGACGACCCCAGCGTCGTGAAGCCTTTTATGGGCAGCGAGAATGACTGGGTTGAGGAAGACGGAAGCGAGCCGGGGACGGAGTTTCAGAAAAGAACGGAAGTGTACAGAGACGTTGAGGTGGTGGAGAAGACAAACGATCCGGACGCCGGAAGGTCCTGGCTCCCGCGGAAAGTTCTCAACAGAGGAGCCAGCGAGGACGCGAAACGGGAAAATGCGAACCACAGGTCGCCGTCGAACAACAAGAGGAGGGTGGATATCTCTAAATCTTACTCGTTCATGAGGCGGAGACGGTCTCTGGAAGAGGCGGCGCCTCCTCCTCGCGGGAAAAATTCCGATAGGGACAGCGACACCCCGGAAGACGTGCATTCCGAGGAAGATTACGAGGACGAAGCCGGCGAGGGGAAGGATAAAAAATCAAATGACAATTTCCTGGCTCTGAAGATAGCCACGACGGATAAAAATAAATCCATGCGGAAAAATCTGAAAAAAAAATTCCGACAGAAAACGAAAAATATGAGCAAGCCGCCTCCGTGGGAGTGTAAGATGGAGAGATCGGCGCGGTTGTTGGGGTACGGGTTTTTCCCGCGGGTGATTTGGGAGGGGAGGTGCTTAACGGACAAGTGCTTCTACAGGCTGTACAGCTGCCAGCCGGTCAAGTACGTGGTCAAGCTGTTGTCCCGGGACCCCGCCACCTGCAACCCCCTCCCCAGCTTAACCAACGCCACCGTCTTCGAGGAGAAGTGGGACCTGCAGGACTATCACGTGATTGTGGGCTGCAACTGTGTCAGTCTGGCGGCCAATGCCAACACGAGCTCCAGAAAACACAAGTCTCGAACCCGGAGCTAAACCTCGGGAAAGTCCACTTTTTAAAAAAATAAGGTGGATAGCTTGAACATTGCGTGTTAACATTTGATCCAGAAGACGACACAAACATGCTAACACCCCCCTCCGTGAGTGAATAGACTCACCCGACGGATGTTGGCCATTTTTATTTAAAATCCTTGACTTCATTAACTTTGTGACATCACTGAAAAAAACAAAACAACAACCGAAAACTCACATCTTGATCGCTGTTTTCATTTTGTTTTCTTCAAATGTTTTTTAAAGATCAAATTTTAGGAGCGGATTCTGCGGTTTAAAGGTGCTTTTGTGTTCGTGTGTCGTCTGTTCGATGTGCCCGTATCTGTTGCTGAGGATCGTTCAGAATTCCAGAATGCTGAAGTCTAACTATTCAGGTTTGGTTTTTAAAAAAAAACTGAAATTATTTTCAACTTGCTGGAAATCTCTTGTAGACGGGCACTGTGCGATAGGTCAAGGTGGGCCTGAAAAAGGTCAAGGATGGCATGCTGAAGGTTAAGGCTGGCCATTAATATTCACAGATGGCTAAAAAAAAACGCCAGTGAATTAAACTGCTTAACCAATGAAAAGTCAGGGAAGGCCAATGATATTCTCTGCGGGCCAAAGAAAAGTAACCACGGCTGGCTGAACATTAGAACAGTGCAGGCCAAGGCCGATTGACAATAGGACAGTGAAGGTCAAGGTCGATGAACACTAGGAAAGTGAAGGCCAAGGCCGATCAACAATAGGACCGTGTAGGCCAAGGCGAACCAAGGGTCAGCGGTTAAAACTGGTCCCACAAGCTTCTCAATAGACGGTACAGTGAAAGCTGTTTTATCCACAAGGATTATCTTTCTGTTACATCCACAAATATCTCCTCGAGTAATTTCATCCGCATTTGTTCGAACCTCGAGACTCGGACAGATCAACACATTCTGTCATGCCCGTAGCTGTATCATCGTTCGAACCTCGAGACTCAGAGATCATCATCGTACTTGTATCATCGTTCCAACCTCGAGACTCGAACAGATCATCATCTTCTGTCATTCCCGTAGCTGTATCATTGTTCGAACCTCGAGACTCAGAGATCTTCATCGTAGCTGTTTCATTGTTCGAACCTCGAGACTCGAACAGATCATCATCTCCTGTCATTCCCGTAGCTGTTTCATCGTTCGAACCTCGAGACTCGAACAGATCATCATCTTCTGTCATTCCCGTAGCTCTATCATTCCTCTCTGTCTCTATCATTCCCTCCTCCTCCAACATAAAAACAAAGACATTTTGTAGAGCCAGTTACCTTGTACATAGACCACTCTAATTATAGTTTAACAAATCCACCACGGTGGTGCTGCTCTAGCACCACCACACAACCACACCGACCACATGTACGGTGGTGCGGCGTGACTGGGGCCAAACCCCCACGATATGACGTGTGTTTCATTAGAAACTAATTAAATAAAACAAAAACAAAAAAATGGCAAATTGTTCGTTTTCGTATTTACGTATATTGTTTTTTTTAAAAAAAATGTCTATCAGATCTGTATTCAATACGCGAAGAAGCCCCATATGTGAAATGTGAAACCTGTAGGGCTTTATGTTGATCTGTGATTTTTCTTTAGAAAAAAAAAAACATTCGATCACAGTTTGTCGAAGGGTGACATTTGAGATGGTTTGGTGTTGCCGATTTGACAACGTGTCGGGTTATTATACCAACTGTATCGGGTATGTGCCAGTATGTCCCAGTTTAAATTTGAAAAGCTGCTGTAGCGGTGTATGGTTGATGGCGTGAATGGTGAGTGATCGTGTTTCACACTCGCGGTTTGTGGGGGAGGGGGGGGGGGCGTGTTGTTGTTGGCACAAGATGGAATGAAATATTTTTTTATTTATGATACTGCTTTTAAATGCAACGATTTCCTGGCTATTGGTTTATGTAAAATGTTTTATGAATATGAATAGAGAAAGGTCTGCTGCGCAGGTGTAGCACTGTCTTCTTGTCGAAGGGAGATGTCTGTCGAAAGCTAAGTGGATTAGGGTTAAGTGGATTAGGGAGGGGTCCTGGGTTTGGTGGCTGTTGTATTTTCCCCGCCCTCACAAAGTTATTGGGGTATTAGACATGTAAACAGTGCGCGTTGCTGCGGAATTTTTTTCCGTAGTTTGTTGTGATTATGGCGGGTGAAATACTGTTAGAGTTGAGGGTAGCTCGGTGGGGTGGAGGGGGGGGGAGTTGAGGGGACGGATGGGGTAGAATTAAACATGGTAGTGAAATCAGTTTGGTAGGAATTTTTAGCAAACTTATAGAATTTAGGATAATTTGTAGGGTTTGGGATAATTTGCAGGATTTGAGATATATTGTAGGATTTGGGATATTTTGTAGGATTTGGGATAATTTGTAGGATTTGAGATAGATTGTAGGATTTGGGATATTTTGTAGGATTTGGGATAATTTGTAGGATTTGAGATAGATTGTAGGATTTGGGATAATGTGTGGACTGAGTAGAGTTGTTGAAGGGTTCGGGATATTTCTGAGATCTAGGGTATTTATTGGAGGGTTTTTTGGGTTTGGGATAGTCAAGTGGATTTGGGATAGTCCCGAAGATTTGGGATAGTCCTGAAGATTTGTATAGTTTAATGGGTTTGGAGAAATTTTGAGGCTTGGCCTACACATGCACTGGGGAAGAAAACAAACGCATGGTGTATATCAAGATATAGAGGTCAGATTCTAGGATAATATTGACAGATTTATTCGTATTTGCTACCACTCAACATAATGTCGACTGTGGTTCAAGGTCAATGGCAGTACCAAGGTCTTCTGTGGACCCAAGGACAATGGTACATTTAGTTGACCAAGGTCACCTGAGGACACAAGGTCACCAGTAGACCAAGGTCACCGGTAGACCAAGATCATTAGTAGACCAAGGTCATTAGTAGAGTATTTAACTAGCCAGTGCTACCCGAGTTGAAGATACCCGGGACAATTTATCTCCCCTGTTTTTGTATATTTACACATAGGTCCGTATATTTATATGTATTGTACATTTAATAGTAACATGAATGTATACAATTGTTTCAATGTTGTAGTAAGTAAGTCTTACACCCCCGGGGCGGGGTGGGAGGTTAGCCTCCCCTAGGATTAACCTACCTTTCTCCTCCTCTTCTCTATATTATTATTATTAAAATTATTTATTTTATTTCTATTTGTAAGATGAATATGACACTTTAAGATAATCAACGTTATAAATGGTGACTTGCCTTTTTGTTGTTTTTTCTATCAATAATTTTGTATGTACTTTTTTTTTCGGTTTGTAGACTTTACTTTTTTGTTTATGAAGACACGCATATACAGACACACCCACGCACACACATAATCACGCATACACACCATAGAAACACACTATATAACTCAAGATTGCTACCCGATATTCTGGAATTTGGGTCCCGGTTCGAGTCCTTGTGACGTCCTGAAATGCGCCAATCTTTGATGAGCACCTGACTTACGCTATGTGAATATAGTGCGTCTGAGCATAGTGCTGACCAGTGCTGACCACACTTACTTCGTATGCCGAGGTCACAGAAACGTGAACTTTACTTCATCAGACCCGTGGACTGCCTGATTCCAAAGAGAGAAAAAAATTATGCACACACGCACAAAAAATCGACCAAAACTAATATTTTATATACAACGTAATTCTCTAATGATGCGAGAATAGAAAAATCGTGTACAAGAAGATTATGGTCCATTTCTATTTGGAAGGTTTGAAAATCGAAGGCACTTTAGGCCATTGCATTACTGTTTGAATCAACCCCGAGTTGTGAATAGAGTTGTGAAGAGAACAGCGCCTAATGTTTTTGTGGCGATGATTGTCGTGATAAATAGCGGTTTATCTCGGTTTTATGCTAGAAATAAAGTTCATGTTAACATTATAAACTGAACACACTGAAATAACTGTAATGGTCGCTTTAATGCTGGGGGGGGGGGGGGGTGTAGAGGGGGAAGTGGTTCTAGTTGTAATAATAACTTCAACATTAACGTTTCCGTGATGGTGTGATAGTGTATACTTAACAACAACCACCAAACATCAGCGTTACTGTGGTGGTCTAGACCTAACAACAACCACCAAACATCAACGTTGCTGTAGTGGTCTAGACGTAACAACAACTACAAACATCGGCGTTTTGTGATCTAGACCTAACAATAACTACCAAACCACCAAACATCAACGTTGCTGTGGTGATCTAGACCTAAAAACAACTAAGAAACATGGACGATACAAAGGTGGATAGAGTGTTAAATTTTAAAAATAAATACCACACGTTTTGAATGGAATAGAGCTCTAGCCTTAGACCGCACACGTGTATAAAAGAAATTAGCAATCCATCAATCTTAGTTCGATCGCCGATTGATTTTAAAAACCAAACAAACGACATAGTTCAAAACAATTGTGCTGACTACAACAAACTTTTAATATACACTACAAACATGGAGAAACACAACAAAACGAAAGCTGTTTAGTACCTTCATCACGTGATGACCACATTTTCTCCTTTCTCGAGACCTACTGTAACCCTCCCCACCCATCAGGGTAATCATTTGATACTTTGACAACCAGTGGCACACAAGTTAATCTTGTACGTCCATTATAGGGGCACCTTAACATTGATTACACCAAGGATTGAAGCTGAAAATCAAGCTCAAGGAAACGAGTTTCAATGTTTCAAATTTATATGAGCTTTGTCTTCGTCGAACCATATTTTTAAAATTAACGTCTTCTCGCACGGTTTAATTTAGTGAAAGATTTATTGGTTAACAATTAAAATTTTTGGCAATTAATAATAACGTGATTTTAGAACCACTTAAACGCTCTGTTTTTAATTTGGTTCCTATGACGTCAGCCCGATGTTAAAATCTGATGGATTAGGGGAAAAACTGTACCCTTGTCAACACAATGCTGACCATTTATTCCCAAACTCCCATGTTACATTGATCTACATTAGATGATGGTTTCATGTGCAGGCGAGGAAGAAACTGTTTTTTAAATGATAAGTTAGGTTTGGTAGGTTGTGTGTTGTTGGTTTGTGTCTGGTAGGTTGTGTCTGGTAGGTTGTGTCTGGTAGGTTGTGTGTTGTTGGTTTGTGTCTGGTAGGTTGTGTCTGGTAGGTTGTGTCTGGTAGGTTGTGTCTGGTAGGTTGTGTCTGGTAGGTTGTGTGTTGTTGGTTTGTGTCTGGTAGGTTGTGTCTGGTAGGTTGTGTCTGGTAGGTTGTGTCTGGTAGGTTGTTGTTGTGTCTGGTAGGTTTTGTCTGGTAGGTTGTGTCTGGTAGGTTGTGTCTGGTAGGTTGTTGTTGTGTCTGGTAGGTTTTGTCTGGTAGGTTGTGTCTGGTAGGTTGTAGGTTGTGTCTGGTAGGTTGTGTGTTGTAGATTGTAGGTTGTGTCTGGTAGGTTGTGTGTTGTAGGTTGTTGTTGTGTCTAGTAGGTTGTGTCTGGTAGGTTGTTTCTGGTAGGTTGTAGGTTGTGTCTGGTAGGTTGTTGTTGTGTCTGGTAGGTTGTTGTTGTGTCTGGTAGGTTGTGTCTGGTAGGTTGTTGTTGTGTCTGGTAGGTTTTGTGTTGTAGGTTGTGTGTTGTGTCTGGTAGGTTTTGTGTTGTAGGTTGTGTGTTGTGTCTGGTAGGTTGTGTGTTGTAGGTTGTGTGTTGTGTCTGGTAGGTTTTGTGTTGTAGGTTGTTGTTGTGTCTGGTAGGTTGTTGTTGTGTCTGGTAGGTTGTGTGTTGTAGGTTGTGTGTTGTGTCTGGTGGGTTTTGTCTGGTAGGTTGTGTCTGGTAGGTTGTGTGTTGTAGGTTGTGTGTTGTGTCTGGTAGGTTTTGTCTGGTAAGTTGTGTCTGGTAGGTTGTGTGTTGTAGGTTGTTGTTGTGTCTGGTAGGTTTTGTCTGGTAGGTTGTGTCTGGTAGGTTGTTGTTGTGTCTGGTAGGTTTTGTGTATCATTACTTACACCAGCAACACTTCCCTTCCTGTTACCTGTCTAGGTCATGTAGCTACTCTAGGTGACACTAACTTTCCCATAGGTCAACGGTTCTCAACCTTACAACCAGGTATCTGTTCATATTTCAATGTTAACCCGACCTGTTTAATAATTTTTGAGCCTATACATTGCATCTATCCTTAAAATTGTACGATCAATAGTCATGAATCTAGAACAAATTACTAGCTAGTTCTACAACATGTTGCTAGTCTCACTTCTAGCATTCAAACAGGCGACCACGAATCGAGCTCAAGACCAACGCGCTCGACAACTTTTGAGCTTCCGCTAGAAAACTCTCTGAACCGCTGCTCTTACGCCACGCGAGACACGGTATGTCACGCCATTACTAAGTCGGTGAAGACGTGTCGCCCTAGCCTTGAACAAGGTGCGGCAGCCTACTAATTTAGCCGGAAGTTGTGTTCACCGTCTACTACATCGGTACCCTAGAATCTATTTTTCTTGTGTGTCATCTGGACTAGTGTATTCACGTCGACAACACAAACACGATAGGTGAACGGGTTTTTGTTCTTTATTGTTAACTGGGGCCTGACTTGATCGTAAAAATAATTTCTACTAATCGGGCTAAACTCCACTTGAACATTGGATT